TAGTTCGATTAGCAACCGTTATTTTAATCCACACTCATTGAATTCTGAAATCAATGTAAATTGCTGATTCTACCCTGAATGAATTTATTCTCATAATTAGATTATCTTCCATTCACGAAGAATTGGACTAACTTTACGACATTCACCATTCCACAGCGAAAACTGTAATCATCATCGAGTTATCATGAACGAAGCAGAACGCGATCATATTCTGCAACCATTCGTAGTCATCATTTAAGGATCGTCCCAATCAGTCGTTGATTTATTCACAGAGCATTTTTATCGTTAATTCATCGATCATCGCTAATCACTTTCAGAAAAGGGTCGTGAGATTCTTAATAATGTGTTCCATGTTGACGAGAAATCATTGCTTCAAAATGAATCAAATGCCGAAGACCTGATTTATTTCATTCGCGAGGCGTTCGAGTATTTCGCAATGGTCGATTATCCGTACCCAACAAGTTTCCTGCAACCGTTACCTGGCTGGCCAGTTCAGGTGATTCGAATGATAACTCGGAAAGGTTCTTTGAGTTACTAACGCTGCACAAATCAACACAGCGGAAGTGACTGATTATGACTCTCTGCAACCCTCACAAATCGCAACGCAATTGATCGAGTGTTGTTCAACGTTGTATCACATTTGCTAGTTTACTGCGAACTATTAATCTCAAGGCTGCTTGCTTATCATTTGAGCGTCAACACTGTTTGCTCAAGCAGAAAGTTTTCCTTCAGGCGGCATGTAATCTTGTCAAAGAGCAGTACCCCAAACCACCAACAGAAGACGAAGATTTGGTAAACTACCTGTATATTATCTCGAATCTTTATTATAACTCCACCGGAAGTGAGACAACGAACTGTGTCATTTCGAAAGTATGCGGTGATCCAGCCACTAACGGTCTCGGCTCTGATGCTCTCGGATGGCCGTGGCAAGTAAGTTGCTGCTTGAAAATATACTAACACACTCCTTTAAGCGCTCTAGAGAAGTCGTTATCTGTCACAGCGCTGTGATTCGATCTGTCGTTATCACGTACTTAAATGAAGTTGAATGATGCATAATTTTATGCGAAACAATTGAAACGTTGATCGTTCAAAGCACGTGCAGGAATAATAATCGCTTTGAAGATGATTTTTTCTGCAGTTGTTATGATATGATGAAACACCTCTGTGGTGGTGTTTTGTTTTTTGAAATGAATACCCAAACACTGTCCATTCTTGGACTGCCACCTTCTTCCTACAATATTCTGGGTATGCTCGCTAAGCCTGCTCACACTGACTGATGCGCATTACTCACACCATTGATGGAATTTACGGATCGGCTTTCGACGTTCTTTCGACGTTACATCAACAAATGAGTGAATTATTGTATAGAGTTAATGGTGACCTGCCACAGTAACAAAGGGGTGAATGAGCGTACGGAGAAGCACTGCTCGATAAAACGGCTGAATCCTGAATCGATTAACTACATGATTCCATTTAGTCCTGTACCGAACTTGTGATGGAGATATGTGCAGAAGGTGGTAAAAATGACTTCTTCTGGGATGAATGTAAAGAGGCTGGTGGTGTTCTCAAAATGGTCAAGAGATTCTGTCTTAAAACGTTCGAGGATATTGGTTACACCGAAAAGTTTTTGTTCGAAAATGACGCTCCGATTGAATACGGTCTCGAATTTGCTGCTGCTAGCAATATCGTGTTTACGTAAGTTTCATTCTCCTCAATTATTACCCGCTTTTCTATAGGAGTTGCTTTTGATATCGAGACAGCAGCATGACAGAATTGATGTCTAAGAAATTTCAAGAACAAATGGGCATGTTGTCAAGCATGCTTCTCATGTATTGTTCATTTTATTTTCTCTCAACAGTTCACGATACCAATATAAGTCGTTTTCTATCAATTTCTCTTGTGCTGTTCGGGGATATCATCACATGAGATCGATTTTTACGCCGTATTTTCAAGCATGTGAACACGTGAAGGCACGCAACACATCCATGCACTCGAATCCTAATCGACGAGTGGAACATCTGGAGAAGCATAGCTATAATGCCTATAAAATCATTCAGGAATGGCAATCTAGATCCATGGTCCGTGGGCGGAGTATTCGAAGACACACCAGGCGTGAAAGAAGCCGCTAAGAATGGTGTGTACACGTTCTTCATCACTAATGGTGCACATCATCTGGATATAAGACAGCCGAACACCTGCGATCCAGAATCGGTCAAAAATGCTCGATTCCAGGTAAAAATTCATTGTCTTCTGAAATTATGTTTTGCCAAATTCTTGTAAAATAGTCCAAGCAGGTCACATAAGAAAGCATACTAAATGAATACTGTCGAAGAGCAAAAATTTGGCAATGATCAAGTTATTTATTTAATGAGCAACTGCAAGTTTATGCCTCTTTGTTCATACCAATACCATCAATGGTTAGCGTAATAAACGAAGGTGGAGACTGATGAATTTATGGAATGATTGCGTTCCGTTTTACATCATCGATTTTCAGATTGTCCAAATAATTA